CCAGCGCTGACTGGCAGGACGGACAGGGGTGGGGGCGGGTACAGCTGGCTCTGCCTCTAGATAGGCAGAGCCAGCTGTCAGTCACGCAGCTGGGCGGATCCCGGAACAATTGTCGGGATCCGCTTCAGCTGCGACGTCTCAGTATACCTTGCGGTATACTGTGGCGTCTCAGTATACCGCGACCTAAAGCTCGCGGTATACTGAGCCTAGGGTGACGGGAGGATGCTAGTTTATGTCCTCCCGTTACCCTCAGGAGAACTATGGGGAAAAACCTTAACCCCATAGTTCTCCTTTATAGGAGGAGATTAGTTGTTGATACAACATTAATCCCTTGTGAGATTGCTACACAGGACCTAGCGCAACATAACAGCAACATTTCATACCACACATTGTTGCAGCTGGTTCACTTTTACTGAGTGATTACTCCTAGCGCAGCGGCTTGTTGTTTTTCAATAACCAGAGGTTGTTGATCTAGATAGTATTCTATTTTCTAGACATTTAATTTCGGACATTCGAATGCATCCAAATGTCCAAATTCCAATGAGGCCAAATGCAAACGAATCCGAATGTTCTCTTAACAAAATTTTGGATCATCAGAATTTCTATATTCAGCCTGTTCAACAAACAGGTACACTTTTTGCTAGTATCAATTATTACAAACATTCTAAAAAATATTTAAAAATTTGTAGGTTAAAAAAGAGTTAAAGAAATTGATCTGAAACAATTATAGTTTCCCTTTCAATAGGCTGTATTGAACTACTTCACCTCATTGTCTCCTTAATATTATCAGAACTACGTAGAAGTCTACTATCATTATATAAATAGTGTTCAGGACTTTATCATTCATGCATTAAGCAACTCCTGTGTATTCTCTGTTCCCTGGAAATCACAAGGTACAGATTATCATTATAATCTGCTGACACAATTGTTGCATCAGCTTCAGTGATTATTTGTAATGCACTGCTGAAAGAATAGTGAAAAGTTTTATAAAGAGAAACCTTGATGGAACAAAAAATTGCTGCAGGCATTAGTGCACATACCTGAACCATGCATTAAATCTTTGCTTTTACCGCTGAATGCCATTCTATCCTGCAAAGTTTCAGCATCTCTTAATAATAGCGAAGCTTGCTTGCTGCTACCTGCTGTGCCAGAGCGACCCGGTCCTAACCCACTGTAGGTCAATAACATATATACGCAGTTCTGAACCAAGCGTGCTGTCACAAGGACATGGCAACACCACTCCCAGCCTCACTCTACACAGAGATTTCCCAACTTGCACGACAACAATCTCAGGTCAGCAGACTGAGAGCGATCGTCACTAGGGTTAGTTAACTCCACAATGACCCTTTTACACATAAAATAGTAGCTGCCACCACGTGTGTTAACAGAAAACACGAACCGTTCTCAGCAAATGCTGTGACAATTCAAAAAACCTAAACGAAGCCTATGATACCACTGTTCTTTCAGACAGGAACATGACAGGTTTCACTATACAGTAGCGCTCTTCTTGGAGACAAGGATACTTTAAGTTCTTATTTAGAGCATAGTGATAAGCTTAACGGTTTTTAAGATCGTCCTTTAATAAAAGAAACGGTGCAGGAAATATATACAGAAAAAGATGTTAATAAAGAGAGACAGAGATAACAACAGCAAAAATAAAAAAGAATACAATGAGAGTGCTTAACAATTCTGGGTTCATAAGTTCTGACAGATGCACAGAAGATGGTTCTGAATGGCTTTCTTCAAGTAAGGCTTGCAAAGGTTCTTTCCTGGTGGTAAAGGGGAACTCTTCCTGGATGTTACACAAGCTTCTTCTTCTGATGTTACAAGAGCTTCCTCTTGATGTTAAAATGAGAGCCTCCTAAGCTGCCTCTGCAGCATCTTTTTGTCAATCCTTCAGGGGGTGTCACAGAGTTGGCTCATAAGGCAGGGCTGGGAATGGCGAGT